ACATCATTTCAGCGAATCTTTTCTGACAATAAAAGGTTTATTGACCACAAAAGTATTTATCCAGTGCCTGCATAGTACGATGCACACCCACCAAAACCAGCGGAACTCGGTTATCTACAGTTTATGGAGCAAGTTTTCATAAATCACATTGGAGAAAAAAAAATGAAACTCCATGGGCACTAGCACCCACGATTTTATTGATATAGAAGAAGCATCCCTCATGAGAATTTCAGAAATTCGTTCCCAACGTGGATCGAACTCTGGTCGTTAGGTTTACAATCATGCGCCCCCAACCACTGGGCTATGCCCACGTCCTCCACATTGGAGAAAACATCACAATTAGTGGCAGAAACTTTTACCTTCTGGTTTTTTTTCTCATCACCATGGCGTGTTCCCGCCTCAAACTAACCACCCTAGCTAAGCTATCATTTCTTTCCAAGTGGGCCCGACTGGCCGCCACAACCTTGTCGTATATAGCCGTGGATAATGATATTTGATCCGGACGACTTAATTAATTTGTAGCAGATGTATGATGTATAGATTCGTGTGCCTGGTCGACGCTGCCTGCGGCACATGCAGTGACAAGATGCACGACAACCAATTGTAGAGCCTGAGCGTACATAATCCAACCGGCCGGGAATAGTCAACTATATATTTGTTTTGGCCCTACCTTTCTGAAGGAACTTGCATGTGGTGATGGAAAGGGAGTGGCATGGACCTTGATCCGGGGGAGTAGTACAATCAATAAGACAACAAGAAATATGCTATTTGTGTATGTCCTAAATTATGCGCCTAACACACAGTATGATTGGGCCTAAACTAACCATATTTAGCACTAACAGTTGAGGCTGCCGATAAGATCAGCAACACCCAGGGACCAGGGTACCTGTGACATCCTATATACCTAATACCTAGGGCTGGTAATAGTGGGAACTAACTTTGGGACATCTTCAAGACGACCCTCAAACGGCCTGTATCTGTCCTAACGCAACTGTTCAGACCCCGCAAGCCATTCAACGGTGACCCAATCAATTCGTGGAGCAGTTCAAACCGTCATTTTCCCGCAAACATGAAGCAAACCAGGGCTTTGAGGGAGTCCATACACCAGCCACGTCGGATTTCGACACCCCAGACCCATCCAAAACTAAGGCGGAGCCGCGCTTTTGTAGCTGGCCACACTGTTTTCGCGGTAAAATCACTCACTCTCCTCTTTCATCCCGCCGCTCTCCACCCAATTCCTGTCCTTTTTCTCCGCCTCCAATGCGTGGACCCATACGAGAATGTGCCGGAGACGGATGTGTAGTATCATGCAGAGCCTTCGTCTATTTGAATGAAGACTCATTTTCCCTTGAAATGCATTATATTATAGTAACATATTATGTTACCAGAAATACCTCTGTCCTCATTAACGAGATGAACATAAGCAAACTTATCTTGAAGTGTGTTATGTTACTACTCCCTTCATCCTAGTGTATAGGACATGCATGTAGTTCTAGGCAATCTATTTAACTAGGTAAATATGTATTATATGTAACAAAAAATATTGTAAACTACATTTGCATATGTACCCAACGATATGCTTTTGATGACATATAACATATTTTCAGTTAGTCAAATGGACGACCTACAAGTACGCGCATGTCCTATGCACCAGAGGAAGTAGCTAATTAAGTTACTGCCACTATGGTCAGCTTAAGATAGTCATCCCGACCAACTTATTTATCTCAACATGCAAACATGTCACCTCACCATAGAACTATGAATAGAATCACCATGCAACCATGAATAAGAAAATACCCACCACAAAATTAAAGCATGTACGGAAAATATGGTTCCCGTTCAGTTATACTACTTATGTAAGATATTGTTACAAGTATATATAATCAATTATAATAAGTCATATGTGTTTTTATTTTTTATATTCATGTTATTAATCGGAATTTTTATCAACCAGTTCACGCAGTAACACATGGGCATCGTCTAGTTTTAGAAATTCTCATCCCCATCCCTCAATCCCTCATCAAGCATACGGTGTGATGTAGTTGCCGAAGGTTTCCCACATTTTTCAGAAGAAAAAAGCACACAAAAAAGGCAACTACAGAACCTTGTTCGGTATGTTTGTTTATTTATTATCTCAACATGCAAGCATTTCACCTCACCATACAACTATAAATAGGATAAGGCACGCTTCAACATGCAATCATGCATGGAAAAGGACACACCACAACATTCAAGCATGCATGGAAACATGTTTCCCATTGATTAGTTATACGACTTGTGTTAAATAAATATTGTTACAACTATACATAACCAAATATAATAAGTCATATGTATTTTCATTTTTTGTTCTCACTTATCAACCAAACTTTTATCAACCAATTCCCAGAGCAATGCGTGGG